GTTTGCAGCCATCCCCACCCCGCTATTGAACTTGAGTTTCTTAGTACCCTTCTTCCCCTCACTATCCCTCCATCCCCAGCATCTTGTGATCCCTGGAGACCCCTCAGGACCACCAGTTCCCTGCAGTCTAACATCCTTAGGGACATTGCTAAGGATCTATTGCCCATAGCTTCTGTGCTCCTGAGAAAGGAGAGCAGAGCAACCCAGAACCCAAAAGTTTATAAACCAGTGATCCAAGAGGGAAGCAGGCTCCATGTGGCCAGAGCCCAAACTGTAGGATCTCTTGTCATTAGACACAAGGCTTTGAGTCCAACCCATATCTCATTTGCTCATGGCTTACAGAAAGGAAAAAAAAAATGATGGGAATGGTGGTACATACCTGTAATCCCAGCAACTTGGGAGGCTGAGACAGGAAGATTGTGAGTTTAAAGCCAGCCTCAGCAAATTGATGAGGCCCTAAAAAACTTAGCAAGACCCTGCTTCAAAAAATAAAAAGGGCTGGGGGTGTTGCTTTGTGGTTAAGCATTCTGGATTCGATTCCTAGTACCAAAAACAAGAAAACAACCTCTGAAAAGATTGCCAGCTTCCTCCAAAAGCATTTACTAATTGAACATGGGCCTATAGTGAGCATGTTACCATGAAGGTCCCAGTCTAAGACCTGCACTTGGACACGGCAGACAGAGAGCTGATTTGCACCAAATCGAGACCTGAAAGGGGAGTAGAGGTCACCAAATGGGACTTTCCGTTCGGTGCTTGTATTATTCAGTGCTTGCACCATTCCCAAGGCAACCCCATTCTGCACTGACCAGGCTCTGGTGGAGTTCTCTTTTATATAGTGAGCTGAGGTCTGTCTCTTAGTGTACCATCTGCTCATCCTGCCCTCTACCCACCCAGCTGACCATCTACCTGCCTACTCCCAATGCATCCGTTTATACAACCACCTATCCATCCATCTACCCACTTCTATCCTCCCCAACCATAGATCCAGCCGTCTACCTGTTGATCTATCCAGCCACCCAGCCACCTGACCACCCACCCATCCGTTGACAGTCTTCTCTTCCACTTGTTCCCATCCTCATGTTCACCCACCTTTCCACCAGCCTCCCATCTGTCCATTCTTCCAGTTGCCATCTGACCATCACTTACTGCCTGCCATGCATGAAGCCTAAGCACAGACTTAAGAACAGGTCTGGCCTTTTCAAGGAGGGACAAGTGGCTCAATGTGGGGAAAACACATGAAAGGCAGGAGGGTGAGAACTCAGGCTGGAACAAGGGCCAGATGGTGACCTTCAGGAGGCGTCAGGAGCTAGAACTGTCTGACTCAGGAGAATTTTGGAAGGACAGCAGCACTCCAGTACAAGCCTGCCCTATTTTTATGATTTCTCACTTCCCATACAAGCCATGGGTTCTGCCAAGGACTGAGGCCTTCCTGAAAGAGTGAGAAGCTGGGTTATTTTTGAAGGTGCTTATTATGATGGCTGGACCTTGGTTTGCTTGTCTAGAAAATGGAGATCATTAACCCTTATTTGTGGGACTGTTTAGAGGACTGGAGATAAGAATCCCTGAGAGACCTAGCATGGGGCCTCCTGCATGGTTCCTGTAGGCCACCTGCCCCGGGACTGCAGGCATCCCTGCTGCCCTCAGTCCTTTCCTCCGCCTGCTCCTTTCAGGCACAGGACTCCCATGTGCAATGGCCAGAGTTCCTCCTAAAGCCACATAGGCAGAAAGGATAAGGGAAGCAAGGAGCCAGTCCTGCGGCTTGCTGGTCACCTTTGTGTTCCTTATCCCTTCACCTCCAGCAGCAGGAGGTGAAGTGACTTGGGCAGGATCCTCCAGGAAGTGGAGGAGCTAGGATTTGAGCACAGGCCTGTCTGGATTTATTTATTTATTTATTTTTGGTAGATGGAAACAATACCTATATCCCATTTATTGATTTATGAATGCAGCTCTGAGGATTGAACCCAGTGCCTCACGTGGTAGGCAAGTGTTCTACCACTGAACTACAACCCCAGCCCGAGGCCTGTCTGGTTCTAAAGTTGCCTTCTAAGCTGCCTGCAAGTGGGGGTCCCAGGCTCTTAGGAGGTCAGGAGGGGAGAAGAACCCGCACAGCAGAGGCTTCATCTGGCTTTCTGGGCCTGGGATGGTCTGGGTTGGGGGCCAGGTCAGAGAATAAGTAGGTTCCTGATCTGTAGGGCTGGGGAGAAAGGAAGTTGGCCTCTGTGGATGGCGTCAGGGGCCAATAGGACCTGAGGTGAGAGGAGGGAGGCTGCCAGCTAATTGCACCCTGCAAGATGCATCTCCCCACTTCCTGTTCAGGTGGTGATTAAGTAGGCCCAGGAGGCACTAATTTCTCTGGCTGCTCAGATTTCCTGCAGGCCTGGACTGTGTGTGGCAGGGGCCTGGGCAGGCTGATTCTGTCTCTACTAGGTCAGTCCAGCGGCACCTTGACCACATTCTCCAGCTCCTCCATCTTCCTTGGCATGAACTGCAGATTATTCCAGCCACAAAGGCCCTGAGTTTTCAGAGGGCCCTGACCCCCTCTTCCTCTCTGTCCCCTATTCCTTGCCACCTCCTTTTCCAGCACCTCAGTTCAGCCCACACTGGTTCTAACATATAGAGCTGAGGTTTTGGCATAAGCAACATCGGGTTTGAGACCCAGAACCACAACTTAACTTGCTCTGTGACTCTGAGAAGTTGCTTAACTTCTCTGTCCCTCAGTGTCCTCATCTATAAAGTGGGGATAATGTTAGTTATATGTGTTAAACCCTTACCACGATGCCTGACATGCAAGTTAATATGACTGTGAGCACTAATTCTGGTTTTCTGAGTGAACTGTCCATTTCCACTCCCTCACAGACTTTTGTGAGCTCCTGTTCTGTGATATATTTGGGGTTGAAGGATGTACAGATGAATAAGATAGGATTTTTCTCCCAAGGGAGCGCCTTACTGTGGGGCAGGTGGACTACAATAGAAATCTTTTTTTAAATTTTATTTTTATTGACAAATAGTAATTGTATATATTGTACCATGTGATGCCTCGGTACTTTTAGGTATTGTGGAATGAATACATTAGGCTAATTAACGTGTCCATCACATACTTCTTTTTTGGTGAGAACATATAAAATCCACTCTTTTAGCAATTGTGAAATAGATGATACATAATCACTAACTATAGTCACCTTGCTGGGTAATAGATCACCAGAACTTATTCCTCTTACTGGCACTTTGTAGCTTGGACCAACAAAACCCCTTCATGGCCCACTCCCAGCCTCTGCAAAACACCCTTCTCCTCTAGGGTAGAAATCTTGGCAGCACACCTGTGAGAAGCACAGGGCCGGAGTGCTTGGGGACAAAACAGGAGATCTATTCTGCTCGGATCACTCTGCTTCACCTTGGGAAAGCCTGTCCACAGTTGATGCTGGGGCTGAGTCTGGAGCAGGGCCCACAGGGCTGGAAGGGCAGGATGGGTATGCAAGAGGAGAGACCTAAGAGGCAGAGGCCCTCTGGAGGAAGGGAAGGTAGGTGAGAAAGAGAGGGGCTGGCTTGGCAGGCAGAAGCCAGGTGGAGAGGGCTGGGCTGGATTCGACCCCCAAGGTATTAAGGAGGTGAAGGAGAGGGTCCCTTGGGTTTCAGAGGAGCCCATCTGTAAGTAGCCTGGAACGAGAATGAGGAAGTGAGGAGGCTGAGGTGGGGGCCCTGCCCCAGTTCAGAGGCAGGGAGCAGGGACTCTGAGGATGGAGAGAAGGGGAAGGGGCAATTCCTGGTGGTTCACAGAACTTCCCACGAGCTCCCTGTGATTCCCGCCTGGGTGACTGGGTGATGGGGCCTGAGCTCAGTACACCGTGACCGCTGGCTTTAAAATGTCTACACACCTGCAGAGCCAACGAAACTAGGAGGCCTGCCCTTACCCATAAATCCTTCCGAGGGCAACTGTGCTTCATTTTAAAACAAACTTCACAGTGTTACTATTGATGTACAAATTTAAACTACTTTATAGGAAAAAAAGAGCTAACTAGCCCTGAACTGGATTTCTATAGTCTAAAACCCTGTCCTGACCTTGGCTATCACCTGCATATGATGATGATCAGTGAGTGTGAACTGTTGGCCCCTTTCCACCTGATGCCATTTCCTGTGCCCACACCCTAGCCACAGGATTGGTCCTCTCATCAGTCACCATCCGTGTCTACACAGTGTTTCATTTGCTTTGCAAATGTCTGCCTTCTCTGTCTTATCACTGAACCTGGCCCACATGGCTGGGTCCATGGGCCAGCTGGTCAACCCAGGCTCCTCAATGACCTCTGCAGAGCAGGCAGAGTGGAGCCCCCACAGTGCTCTGCAGACAGTGACCTCCAGAAGGGTTGTCTGAAGCCAGGGTTGGGGACCCACAGGGTGAGTCTTGGGTAGCCTGTGCTAGGCTGGACCTCCCTCAGTCCCACTGACTGTCCCTTGGGCTCTGCTTCCACCAGTGTGGGTGCTCGGCTGCCAGCCAGAGGACCAGCCTCTGTCTGCTATGGGTGTCCAGAGCTCCTGACCCCAAGTGGGCACAGCCAGGAGACACCTGCTGCCATCTCCTAGGCACTATGTGGGTGGGATCAAGGGCCTGTTGGTCCCCTCATCTGGCCAGAGGCATTGGCATTTGGGCGTCTGGCCACCCTTTTCTGGTGCCATCTGGATGGTTCTTTGTCTCTCCTGCCGTCTCTGTCTCCTCCTCTCTTATAGCAAACCCTGCCCAAGGCATGCAGGTCCCTGTTTTTCCACATCCCCATGGACACTGAGTAGTATTTTCAGTTTGTTTCTGCCAGTTCAATAGATGTGTAATGGTATCTCAAACTTGTTTAGATTTTCAGTTTGGATTACTAATGCAGCTTTGCATTGTTTTCATGTTGCTCCTTACTGTGCGAGTGTGTGGGCGTGTTGGGATTGAACTAGGACTTGGTGCATACTAAGCCTGTGCTATACCACTGAGCTATGCCCCAAGTCTCCAACCTCCTTTTCCTGAGTCTGACTAGGAGCTCATGGATTCTTTTTCCAATGGGTTTTAATTCATTCCATTATTCTTTCTGATGCTCAGAGGTTTGTTTTGTTCTAATGCAGCATGATAACATTTTGATCATTATTACTTGCTATAATTTATTTATTTTGGTGCCGGGGATGGTGCCCAGGGCCTTTGCTAGGCAAATGCTGTACCACTGAGCCCCCGCTGCAGTCCATCATTGCCCTTTAAAAGAGCTCTCTGATTTTCCCCACCATATATGGATTTTTAAGTATATAACATGTTTCAGAAGCTTTAATTAGCATTGCACTAACTTAGACAGTGTTGTCTTCTTGACTGCATATTTAGTCCTCCCAACAGGAGCAAAATATTAACATTAAAAATAAACTGGAGTGATTTTGAAGCTGGTAATTGGTTAAGTCGGAGCCCAGAATGGAAGCCGAGATTTCTCTGAGACCTGAGCAGCCAACTCCTCTCCTCAAGGAAAAACCATTTTTATGGAAACCAGATTGCTGGGCCCATGGAGATTGTGGTCCATGCATCGAAACTGGTCTCTCTCCTTGAGACCTTTGGCTGGGGATAATTGGTGCCACTTTTTCATCAATGAACCCCCTCATACTCCTACTGGAGAGAGTTTAGGGACACAGCTTAGCAGAAAAATGCAGGCCTTCATGTGTCACCAACTGCTGACCCACCGCCTTGATGACAGCACCCCTGTGCACCTTCCCAGTTCAGTTCCAGGAGCCCTCAGTCAGCGGCCTCTCCCAGATCACCAGAAGCCTGTACATCAGCAATGGTGTGGCTGCCAACAGCAAGCTCTTGCTGGCCAGCAACCAGATCACTTCAGTCAGCAGTGTCTCAGTAGAGGTGGTAAATACCTTCTGTGAGGATATCCAGTATACACAGGTGCCTGTGGCTGATGCACCCATCTCAAAGCTCTATGACTTCTTTGACCCCATTGCTGACCACAACCACAGTGTGGAAATGAAGCAGGGCTGTATATTGCTACACTGTGCTGCTGGCATGAGCCGCTCAGCCACTTTGTGCCTTGCCTACCTCATGAAGTACCATGCCATGTCCCTGCTGGATGCCCATACATGGACCAAGTCATGCCGGCCCATCATCCGACCCAACACTGGCTTTGGGGAGCAACTCATCCATTATGAGTTCCAGCTGTTTGGCCAGAATACTATACACATGGCCCGCTCCCCAGTGGGAATGATCCCTGACATCTATGAGAAGGACATCTGTTTGATGATTCCACTGTAAATCATCCCCTAAGCCCCTGCTTTGGGTCAGTGTACAGACCTGTTGTTGGTCCTATATCAGGATCTGAACTTGAACAATCTTTGTCGATACAGGAATGCACCAGATGATACCTTTTATAAGGGAAAAAAAAAAAAGAGAAAGTGATGCCACAGCTTTCAACTTTGTAACCCATATCTTTAAAGATTACACTCAATTATTAGAGGTAAAGATAAGTTTTTTACCCCATGAGTGGGACAGGCCATGGCTGCTGGTCAGAGGGTGAAATGAGGCAGGTGGTACACTGGACAGAGACCAGAGCCCCAGTGCCTGGAGTCTGCTGCCTTCCCTAGACTGAACAACTCAGAAATGAGACTGTTCAATCCCACTTTGCTCCTTCAAACCCAAAGCCAGAGCCTTAAGCATGGCACCCTCTGAACTTTTCACAATAAGTGCCAACCTACTGGATAAGTGGCCTTCAAATAGTGCTCTAGGAACTCTACAGGCCCCAAACAAACCACATCCACCAGTGGCCCTACTCTAGTTTTCTAAGATCAGGTTAACACAGAAGATAGTTTTCAAATAAACATTCCCCTGTCATAAACTTTTTAAAAATTAAAAAAAAAATAAACTGAGCTAAATTAATGCTTAATATTTAATGTATTTTGTTTCTATAAGGATAAAGTCCTCTTTTCCCATTGACTTTTTTTTTCTTTCTAGCTGCTTGTCACTAGCATATAGGAATGCAATTGATTTTTGTAAATTTATCTCCTTTTTCACCACTAGTGTGAACTCATTTATTACTTCCAGTAATTTTCTGGTTGATTTCTTTGGATTTTCTCGTCAGCAGTAACATTCTGTTCAGAGGTAATTGCTTTGTTATGCCTTCTTTCTCACGTTTCTGAGTCCAGTTGCTTTTCCTTCTGCGATGGGAGCCACCAGTGTTTCTAGAACTAGATAAAAGGGGTGGGCACAGGAGACATCTGTCCTGACGTGGCCAGGGTAGGGGGGTGGCATGCTGGGACCTTGGCCACATGGCACCATTGTGAGTCGGGAAAACAGGCTGGGCAGGTGCCTGGCCACAGCTGCCCTGAAGGCTATCCCCAAGGAGGATGGACCCTGGAGTGGTCGAACGCTGGTGTTGCTGTGGGAAGGGGTCAGGTGTAGAGGGAAAGGGTCTGGCAAGAGGTGTCCAGGGTCTGGCTGTGGGGTCAGGGGAGGTGGTCAGAAGCAGCAAAGCAAAGAGAACGGACAGAATGTACACAGATGGCTAGCGCTGACCTTGGGTAGTCATAAGTTGCTGGTGAAGCCCAGACAGTCCCCACCCTCTGCTGTGGTCTTGGACAGGTTGGTGGGGGCTGGCACAGGCAGGACCCCATCATACTTTTCTCCTTATTTTTTAAAACAGGGTGACTATAGCTTACCACCGTTAAGTAGCATGTTGCTACTTGAGTTAGAGTTATATCCTTTAGCATGTTAAAAAGACCTCCCTTCCATGTCCCTTCTCCTTTTTTTAGTCTTACTGAAGAGCAGATGGTATATTGTACCAAATGACTTCTCAACATCTATTAAACATTTTAATGATGATTGCTGTTTTCCCAGTTTATGCAAAGAATTGCGTTTGTTGAGGCAAATTTCAGATTGGCTGGACATGGTCAAGCGCTCATCCTCTACCCCTTCCACACCTGACTTTGGCCACCCAACACCTGGAATGGGAGCGATATTGTTCCCTAAAGGAAAGTCAGGATGTGCCTGCCAGGTGACCTTGGGAAGAAGCTACAGATGTACAATACAGCCTGACCTCCCAGCCCACAAGTGCTCTCCATTCCCAGCCTACCCTGGGGGAGCAGGAAGGGTCATGGTTTCTGTGGTTCTCTGAGGACAGGCATGGAACCTCACAAGGGCATAGTCAGTGTTACTTGGATGACTGAGTGAGAGAATCAATGCAGGACAGGGGGACTAGCCCAGAACTGGGAGCCCAGGTCCTCTGCAGCTCTGCCCCCTGAAGTCTTGTGATCTGTCCTGTGATCTGCTTCTGGAGGCTGCCAGAGGAAAGTTGGAGAGGCAGAGCACTTTGTGACCAACTACTCAGGTTCTGGGGCTGGAGAGATCATGGATCAACACCCAGCTTGCCGTCTTGCTGGCTCTGTGAGCCTGGATAGCTCTCCTCACTTCTTGAGCCTCATTGGTGGAAGTGGGGCTGCAGCCATGCTCCACGAGTGGGTAACTTTGTGGGTGAATGAAAGGATGAGGGGAAGCATGTGGCACAGCTCCTGTGGATCTTCAGCACCTGATGTAGGGGAGTAACCATCGGGGCCTCTCTGCAGCTTTAGGAGCATTTAGAAGAGAAAGCACTGCACTGGTTGTAGATATGTGAATCTCTTGGCAGGGAGAGATAAGCATCCAAGTCCAAGTGTCACCAGAGGGGTTCTGAGGAAGTCCCTACAATGGGGAGAAGGGGACTCAACTGGGCCCCAGGGAAGAATTTGCCACAGGAAAGAATTTCAGGGCACATCAGAAAATAAAGCATTGCTAAATTTGTTCTATGAAAGAAATCAACTGGGCAGTGTGCATTCAGAGAAGGACACAGTGTGGGCGTTCCAGAGAGAGACACGCTTTGGGGGCTTCGGGTTCTTCTTTGAAAGAAAACCTTGTGAGGCTGTGCAGGGGAGGGTATGTGTGCTGGGACTCCCTGGCAAATGCTGCTTTTTGATTGTGGACCACAGATCTTCTCTGGGATCTTCAGGTTGACCCTGTCTCCCCTACCTGATCAGTAATGTTTAGAATGTACCTGTATTAAAGGTTTCTTAAAATACATTTCTTGTTTTATCTAATCTGAAGATACATTGCGTAGGCTAACAATTGCTATCTATAGTCAAAATAAGGTAATTTTCATAGTTGCGTGAATTTTCAGTACCTCTAAGATTGGTAGATTTCCCAGGAATTTGGGAAGAAAAACAGGTCTGGGAGTAGGTCTGCTCGCGGGGTGTTTAGGTGTGCAGCTACAGCCTCCTTTCTCCCTCTCTTTATTTCCTCCATCCTATCTCCCCAGAAGCCACTGGTAGTGCACTCTAGGGGCTGGTTGACCTGCTGCTGCCACCGTGTGGCCCCAGGTGGTTGTTGAGGATGATGATGGCAGGGAAGAGCACCCGCCACTGCAGACACCGGGCAGATAGAAAGGGGGGACCACCTAACAGAAGAGGGCTCACCTCTGTGAATTCTCACTTCTTCGCTTCCTGGCAGGTCCTTAGGCCCTTTGGCCTCAACTCCCTCAGTTCTAAGATGGGCTAATAATAGAAACTGCTGCATAGGCGTGTGAGTTATGGCTGGATTAGTACTCGTAAGGCTCCTCGAATATCGCCCGACTCAGGAGCTGTTCCTAAGTGCTGCCGGGTGTCCTTATCATGTCTTCATCACCACCACCCTTACTCCAGGAGCTCGCAGCCCAGTGAGGGCTGACAGAGCTGGGGAATGTGCCAAAACCCTGGAGGGACCGTGGTCACTGTGGGCGGAGTCTGTCCAGGAGGGGGTGGTGGCACAGCCCCCCCCATTTTCACTACTGGTGCTGGGACTGTTCCCTCCACCACCCCTAACACCTAAGTGCCCTGGTAACAGTCTCAAAGAGCATGTCCCAGCTGAAAGATAGGGAGGGGGGCTGGCTGAAGTCCAGCCTCTGACACTCTCTTTGGGGGTGCTGCTCAATCTGGAGTCCCTTCCCTGGGTGTCTCTAGGGGGCCTTTGAGATGCCAGGGTCCCTCACTGGCTGCCAGACTCATCAGGTCTTATTGGGATGACTAGGATGGGACCCTGTCCTCATCCCTTCGACCTTGAGTCCAAGAAGGTCCAGGATCAGAGCGCTGGCTCAAGCCTTGCTTGCCTTCCTGGTTTAGAAAATGAGGCCAGTACCCTCCCTTCAAGGGCTGGTAGGAGGATAAATGAGGTGAAGGGTGTGCTGGGGCCAAATGCCTCTGTCCTTTCCAGTGCCCTCTTGCCTTGGCCCTCCTCCTCTGCCCGGGACCTCCAATCTAGATGCTTTCTTTGGGGGAAGAAGTCTTAATTATGGATAAAGGCCTAAATCATGCATGAGGCTTCTTGCCTCTGATTTTTACTGCTGTGCTTGCTGGAAAAGAAGCTTGCCTCTGCAGAGAGCGCCCTCGGAATGACTAGGCTTGAAATCTCGCCCCACCGTGGGTTCTGCTGGCCCCTAAGGAATTTCCCCAACTGACTGGGGGTCCTCTGCATGGGGCAAGTACTCAGATGACAGGAAAAAGTAGAGAGGATGAGGGAACAAGGAAGCCCAAGACATGAGCCCCTGGCCTATCCCCCTGGACCCTACCCTGATCAGTGCTGTGGGAGGGCTGCAGCAGGTTGGGGAGTCCAGAGCCAGAAGCTTCTTCCACCTGGGAAACTGCCTGGTCCATGGAGATCCACCCCATGTGCCTTCTCCTCCCATGCGATAGCAGTGTGAGGTGGCCAGAGCCACCTGGCCCCTTCCACAGGCTCAGGGAGGCATTTGTGAACCTCACTCGGGAGGCTGGTGGTGAGCCTGTCTCTCCTTTCCCTTATTTAGAAATCCCACAGTGGGCTCCCAGACCTGGTGGCCTTTTTCTTGTTCTGTTGACAGTAGCAACTTTGCTATTTCTGGCCAGAGCTGCCACATTTTGCTTTGTTTCAAAAGTCAAACCTCAATTTCCTGGGAGGCTGTGGGTATTCTGCTTACTTCCATTTTCTTGGGAAACAAGAAGGCTGGCTGGAAGGAGTTTAGATTTGAGTTTAGTGGAAGCAACTGTGCTGGAGGAGGACACCCCAGGCAGACATTCCCATTTCATGGCTAATAGTGGTGTTGAACCCCTGGAGTGTGCAGCAGCCTTCATGCTACTCAGAGAATCAGAGATGTCCACAAGGGACCTAATGCCAAGGCCAGGGCTGGGTGCACACAAGGGGCTGTTCTCCCAGGTGCCTGGAGTGTCACACCTCCCCTGAAAAAGCAGTGTCCAAGGACAGATGTCCGTCCCTTACGGGGTGAGTTCCCTACCCCCATTGCCTGGAAGCCTCTCCCAGAGGTGGGCCCAGCCACAGCCTCACCACTCCCAAGCTTCCTGCCCCAGCTCCCCAAGGTTCCAAATGGTGAACCAGAGTGGTCTCCCTTCAAAATTCTGGACAGGTTCCACAGAGGTCAGCTAGAACTTTGTTATCCCAGGTATGGTCAGGGGACCAGTGACATTGGCACTTCTCAGGAGTTGGTAGTAATGCAGGTTCTCGAGCCCCAACCCAGACCTGCCGAATGAAAATCTGCACTTAAATAGGAGTCTCAGTATTTCACAGACGGTCCATCAGAAGCCCAGAGTGGACATTCTCCATGTCTTTCCCTCGCATGGAGTTAACAGGGCCTTGTTGCCCACCCCATCTCCATTGCTAGCCCTGGTGCTCTGTGACCCAGCTACCCACTCCCTTTTGGACTTCAAGCTCATATGGGACTTGGGTCTGCCTGGTCAGCTTTGGTGGCCCTGGTGTTGGCTAGGTCATTGAGAGAAGATGCCTGCTGTCCAATCTTGCAGCCTTCCCTAGGCCTGGTCACTGAAGACTCTCCCTCACACTCATCCATGGGCTACCTCTGTCCTCCTGTCACAGATGAGTTTCTTTCTTCTGCCACCATAGGGAGGAGTCAGTCCAGCCACTGCCATCCTTAGATATAGGTCCGTGTCATTAGTCAGAATAAATGAAAGGAAACCTTTTTTTTTTTTTTTTTCTGTAGAATCTATCTGGCCTGGCCAGAGAGGAAACTGAGCTCTGGGGACTTGGACTTGTGGTCAGGAACAGACCCTGAAGTATCATCCCCAGCCAACTGAAACCCACCTGGAGCTCCTCAGAGTCTACCCCTTTACTCCCCCTCCTCCAGGACCTTCATTCAGGGACCATCCCCCCATCTACCCAAACCCCTGAGATGGAACCTCACTTCCCTCCCTGCCTCAAATCAAGCAAGCCCTGCTACTAGCCTGACACTCTCTCTCCTCAGCTCCCTCCTCTCTGTCCCCCACATGGCCCAGGTCAGCTTGACCTCCTCTTCTGCACTATGATGGCCTCCCTGCTGGTCTCCTCACCTCCCTCACTCTGCATTGTGAGTTTCAGGCACCTTCCCAGGTGCACATCTGCTAGGCTGGGCCCCTACTAAAATCTCCACCACCAGAAGGGAGTATCCTCCCCATTTGTCCTGCGTGGGCAGCCTCCCCCTGCCCTCCAGCCACCGGAGCACCTGGTGGTTCCCCAAACTCACAGGCACCCTCAGAGCGCGGCCCTGGGACTCTGCCCCCGCCCCGTCTCTGCTCCCGCTACCCCTTCTGGAATCACCATTCCTGACAACTGCCGTGCTCTGTTCTACTACCCTGTAGGCCCCCACTAGTCACCTCTGCCAAAGTTCCCCGTATGCAGAGTCCCCAGCCTTCTGGGCTCTCTGCCTCTTCCCGGGATCCCACTGTGAGGTATTTGAGCAGCGTCTTCTGGGAGGTTGCATTCTGATGGATTCTTACTTTCCCCTGTAATACTATGAACTGTTTTTTAAAAGGACAAAAGAACTTTCCTGTTTTTTTCCCCTCTGAGTTTAAAAATGATCCAATTCGTTTTTTAAGTTCAGCCAATTAAAAACTGTGGGAAGGGGAGGCCCAAGGATTAGCCATCTCAGCACATTGAGTTGCCTGTGCTGACAGTTGTGTGGCCAGCTCCCAGAAGGGTCAACCTAGGAAAGTGCTCATTTATCTTAAGTCTGCTCCAAGTCAGCTTCTGGGCTTAGTCTCCATAGTTTATTCCTTCTAACTCATAATGAACTCTGTCACTCAGAGAGGTTGAATCATCTGTCCTTGGTCACACAGCTGGTAAACGGAGGATGCAGGATTCCAGCCCAGCTCTATCTACAGAGCCTGGGAATGACACACTGCCTTGGGCATGTGACAGTATGACAGATCAGCTGTACACTTTTATGCTGCTCCCTAGGTTGTTTTTATTTCACTCAAAAAATACAGCAGGACATCTGTCCTTTTCCTGGGAGCTCATCTGTCTCCCCACAGGGCTGAGGAAATGTTTGCAGAAGGCGAGGACAGTCAGACAGATGCAGGCACAGGTCATCTGCTTCAGAGACCACCCAGGCTCTGTCACTTTCCTTCCTATTCAGACACCAAACAAAGCCCGTGTGGGTGGCCATAGGGATTTTGGATAGTAACAGACTCGGGTTGTGAATGAGGGACTGAGGGATGCCTGGTGCCTGGTGACATTTGGACCTGCTGAGGGTCTCTTAAAAGCAAGTTGTTTCCAGCCGTGGTCTGGAGGTGACACTTCCCAGGAGGCAGTGGCCTGGATTCCATGTAACTGGGCCGGGGTGCTAGCTGGCACCCCAATACCACATAATCCTTCTCCATGTGTGCACTGAGCATCTTCACTCCTAAGGCCTCCTTCCCTTGGATGCCTTTTACCCCAGCGCGTTCTTGAAGAGGGGCTCTTCATCAGCAGCCCTCCAGCCTTGAGAACCAGGAACCAACACAAAATGGCTTAACTGCTGAAGCAAATGCTTTTTTATTTTTTTATTTTAATAACATCAGGACCCAAAGTAGGGCAGCTCCAAGGCTGGTTATTTCCAGGGCCCTGAGGTATCACCCAGGATTCGACCTCCTTCCAGTGATTTCCCCAAGAAGCCCAAAGTGGCATCCACTCTCCAGGAGGGGAAGAGGGAGGAAGCACTTCCTGTGGATGGTCTCCTCCACTCCCCAATCAAAGACAGTCTCTCCTCTCTGCAGATGTCTCCTCAAGTCTCATTGGCCAGAGATGTTCAACATGCCTTTGCCTGAACCAATCATTGGCAAAGGAGACGAGCCCACCTGGCTGACCCCGCCTAGTCAGAATCATGCTCAAGGTGAGGTGCTCTGAGGCGCCTGGTCCAATAGGAAGTGGGCACCTCACCACACCAGGGCTGTCTCACCCTAAAGGAGAGGCCTGGGGCATCATAGAGGTGACCAGCAGAATCTGCTTCAGTTCTTGTTATTATTTTTTAACTTTATAGAAGAGAGGAAGTACAGGGCTCAGAGAAGTTGAGTCATTCCTCGGGGCCACCCTGTGGGTCCTCAAACCATTTACTTGGTGAAACTGCCTTGGATGGAGACATTTGCCTCCCTGCCCTTTATTCCTCTCTATATCTCTAGCTCTGATTTTCTTCTCTTCCTCCAACTCACTGGCCACCTCGAACATTCCTGGAGAATCATTATGATAAGATAGAATTCCAAGCTGGCCGAGACCTTCATGGTAACGTCAGCCAATGCCCTCATTTTCCAACAGGGAAACTGAAGCCCAAAGAGAGGAAGGGGCTCACCAAGGCCACTATGGAGAACATTGATGGTGGAGTGTGATGGACTTAGGGACAAGAAGCAGACCATGCCTGAGGTTAGAGGCTTCCTCCTTTATTACCTGGCCTGAGCTGCAGGACAGCCCAACTCAGCCTGCTCCTCCTAGGGAGGGGCGCCCTCAGTCTCTCTTTCTCTCTCTTTCTTTTTTTCTTTTTGTACTAGGTATTGAACCTACGGGTGCTCTCCCACTAAGCCACACCCTGGCCCTCCTTTTTATTTATTATTTTGCTAAGTTGCCCAGGCAGGCTTTGAACTCGTGGTCCTCCTGCCTCAGCCTCCCAAGTAGCTGGAATTGCAGGCATATGCCACCACACCAGGCTCCGGTCCCTTGTTGTATACCTTTTGCACCTGATATTTCCATGGCACTCTGCAATCTTCAGTGTTCTTGAATCTTGGGCTGGGGATACAGCTCAGTTGGTAGAGTGCTTGCCTCACATGCACAAGGCCCTGGGTTCAATCCCCAGCATCACACATGCACACACACACAAAAATGTTCTTTAATCTTTACTCTGACATAGTCTCCTTTAATCCACACAATGGCCCTGGGAGCTGGATGTTATAGATATGGAAACTGAAGCCAGAGAGATACTGTGACTCACCCAAGGTCACGTAGTGAGTGACACACAAAGCATGTGTCACAGAGGGTTTAATGTTCTGACTGTGCCTTCCCACAGAGGGGGTGGGCTTGTTGGGGGTGGTTAGAGATTTCTCAATCTCTGGACAGAGGCAGACTCTTCCACCTAGCCCAGGTTGCAGGGACTGCTAGGACCCTCTTTGGAACCCTTCCTCGTCCATGTCTGCCCCTGGTTTTGCTGAACTCCTGCCCAGCTTCCTGGCCCTCCCTTCCTGAGAATGAAAGGAGATGACCAGTGGCTGCCTGTGCCCTTTGTCCTGCGGGCTCTAGAGTACAGGGCCCCATTGTATGCTTGACATCAGGCAGCTGGACCAGGGGAAACTGGGTAAACAAGCAGGGCACATGTCACCCTGAGGCCAGGGGAGGGTCAGAGCCCCTTGTGGGGAGCAGGAGGGACTCAGGAGAAGTTTTCTGAGGGGGAGCAGAGCCCCTGGGGCTTTGGGACACCTCTTCCTCCTCTCTTAGCTGCTATGCCTTGAGGCAGGGCTGCCTCTGGTCTCCTGCTGAGGAAGAGAATGACCAGCTGCCTCACAGGGCTGTGGAGCAGACCCAGGAATGACCAGTGGGAACTGCCCCGGGGAACTGGGTTCAGGGGTTACGCAGCAAACTGGGGAGCAGAGCTATGCCCTGTGTAAGAGCATGCCAGAGCATGCACGGCAGCACACACTTGGGATCTCATCTACTTGGGAGGCTGAGGCAGGAGGATCACAAGTTTAAGGCCAGCCTGGACAACACAGTGAGACTCTGTCTCAAAACAAATAAATGAATATAGTGCATGCTGGGACTCCTACATTGTTTCCATGGGAGAATTGAGCCCTGTGTTGCCAAATCCAATTTGAAAAGCCAGATAGCCCAGTTTGGGTGTGCAGTTTCTCAATTAAAAAAAAAATTAAATGTACATAGAGCAAAATCCATTATTTTTCAGGATGGTGGGCGAGATTTGTAGTTTCATGAGTTTTAACATTTGTGTAGATTCCTGTAAGCACCACCTTAATCAGGAGACAGATCCCTTCACCGCCCCCCAAATTCCTCCTACTACCCCTTGTATTCAGACTCCCCCTTTCCTCCTTACCCTTGGCATCCACTGATCTGTTCTTTGTCATCATAGTTTTATTGTTTCCACATAAATAAGAAAAAAGCTATTCCTTCTTTCTTTGGGGTGCTGGGGATGGAACCCAGGGTGTCACACATGCTAGGCAAGTGCACTGCCTCTGAGCTGCATCCCCGGCCCATATGCCACCTCTGGAGACTGGTTTCTTTCACTGAGCAAAATGTGTGCACAGTGCATCCGCGTCACTGTGTCAGGGGTTTGTGCCTTGTTATTGCACAACACACTGCTTCTTCGCTCACTGGGAGGAAATTTGGGATGTTTCTAGTTTGGAGCAGCAGTATGTGTCATGCTGCGTAAACCTCTGTGTGCAACATCTGTATGAGTATGAAAATAAGTTTTTGTTTCTCTAAGATAGGGAAGGACAAGGAAGTTCCCCTCTATTCCTACTTTGCTGAATTTTTGACCTAAATGAATGTTGAATTTTTTCACTTGGTTTCTCTGTACCTTTTGCTGGATTTTTCTTCTTTAATCATGTTTCGATTACATTGATTTTTAAATGTTTAACCGACCTTACTGCTTACTGAATAAACCCCACATGCTATGGACTTGATTCACACACACACACACACATACACACGCACACACACACACACACAACTTGCTAATATTTTGTGGAAGATTATTGTATTTATGCTCATGAGGGATATTGGCCTATAATTTTCTTATACTGCTTTAGTCTGGTTTTGGTATCAGTACCACACTGGCTTCATAAAATGAATGGAGAGGGCTTTCATTTTCTAGAAGAGATCATGTAGATGTATGTATATCTTCCTTAAATGTTTGGTGAAACCATCCGGGCCTGAGATTTTCTTTCTTTTTTTCTTTTTCTTGATAGCAGGGTGGGCGGATACTGAGATTGAATCCAGGGGTATTTTACCACTGAGCCACATCCCCAGTATTTTTTATTCAGGGCCTCACTAAGATGCTGAGACTGGCTTTGAACTTGTGATCCTCCTGCCTCAGCCTCTTGAGTTGCTGAGATTACAGATGTGAGCCACTGCCCTGGGCCTGAGGCCTTCTTTTTTAGAATGTTGTAAACTAAAAAATTAAATTACGAGATAGCTATAGGACTCTTCAGATTATCTGTTTCTTCTTGCATGAGTTTTGGTAGTTTGTATCTTTCAAAGAATTGGTCCCCCTGGGCTGGGGTTGTAGCTCAGTGGTAGAGCATTTTCCTAGCATGTGTAAGCACTGGGTTCAAATCTCAGCACCACATTTAAATCAATAAATACATGAAGGCCCACTGACAAACAAAAAGAAATTAAAAACAAAAAAAGAATTGCTACGTCATTTTATCAGAATTGTAGAAATTATGTGCACAGAGGTGATCATGGTGCTCCTTTCTTAGCCTTTTTCTTTCCTCCTCCTTGTCCTGAGCTGGGGATTGAATCCCCAGGGCTACACAGGGGCTGGGCAAGGGCTCTACCACTGAGGGACATCCCGGCTCCTTTATTAACCGTTTAAAGTCTGTTGGACTGTAGTAATATCTCTGCTTTCATTTCAAATATCAGTAATTCGAATCTCCTCTCATCCCGCCCCACAATCGGGTTAGAGTCATCAGTTTTATTAGTCTCTTCAAAGAACCCAATTTTGCTTTCCTTGATTTTTCTCTATCATTTTTCTGTTTTTAATTTACTGATTTCTGCTCCCTTCCTGTTCTCAGCTTTGGGTTACTATGACCAGAAGACCTGACAAGAACAATTTAAAGGAGGAAAAAGTGTATTTCGGCTCATGGTTTTCAGAGGTTCAGTCCGTGGTCAGCTGACTCCACAGCTTGGGGCCTGAGGGAGGCAGAGCATCGTGGCAGGAGGGCAGGACAGAGGGAAGTAGCTCAGGACCCCACAGCCAGGGAGCAGAGGGAGAAAGAGAGAGCTCCAATCACCAAGGACAAAATATAAACCCCAAAGGCACATTCCCAGAGGCCTATTTCCTCTAGCCACACCCTGCCTGCCTGCAGTTACCAACCAGTTAATCCATATCAGTGGATTGATTCACTGATAAGGTTAAAATTCTCATACACTAATCATTCCACCTCTGAAGTTCTTGCATTGTCTCACACAGGAGCTTTTGGGGGACACCCCACATCCAAACCATGACATTCCCTCTTCCTTTGGGTTTGAATTTTATGTTGTTGTATTTTTTATTTTAATTTAATTTAGATTATTTTTAATTTCCCTTGAGAATTCCTCTTTGATTTATGAGTTATTTAGGCAATGTGTATTTGGACATTTTTCAGATGCCTTTCTGTTATTGGTTTCTAGTTTAATTCCAGCATAGTCAGAGCACAAACTTTGTATGACTTCAATTCTTTTAAGTTTATTAAAGCTTGTTAAAACCCTGAGATATGACCTCCTTGGTGAATATTCCATGTACATATGAAAGGAGTATAGGTTTTGTTCTTATTGGGTGGAGAATTCTAAAAGTGCCAGTTAGGTTAAGGTGGTTAGTGGTAGTGTTCAGGCTTTCCAGATCCTTATTGATTTTCCATCTGATTAGTTCTATTGATCACTGGGGAGGAGTGTGCAAGTCTAGGACCATAATTTTCAATTTGTCTTTTTCCCTTTTCAGTTCTATCATCAGTTTTTCTTCATGCATTTTGAAGCTCCATTATTAGGTTCATGCAGATTTGGGATTGTTACGTTTTCTTAGCAAGCTGATTCTTTATTATTCTTGTTCTGATTAGATCATTCTATAATTCTAGCACTGTTTTTTTCCCATCATCTCCATCCTACTAGTGATCCCATCCAGATAGTTTTTTAACTTTAGCTAATATGTCTTGTAGTTCTAAAATTTCTGTTTAGTTTTTTTCAGGTTTTTTTTTTTCTCTACAGAGAATTTCTATATTTCCATTTATTTCAAGAGTGTTCACAGTTACTTCATGGAACATGGATAGGTTTACTGCTTTAAAATCTTTGCCCTGGTTTTTAATCCTCAGTATCAAAATCAAAACAGTTAAAAATATTGTCTAATAATGACAATATCTGCCTCATCTTGGGTTGGTATCTATCTGTTGATTGTCTTTCCCCTTGTACCTTGCTTTTCCTGTTTCTTTGTATGTCAAATAGTTTTGGATTGTGTCCTGGGCATTTTGAATATTATATTACAAGATTCTAGATCCTGTTAAAATCTTCTGAAGAATGTCAGTATTGTTAGGGGTTTTTTTGTTTGTTTTGGTTTTTGGTACCAGGGATTGAACCCAGGGGCACTTTACCACTGAGCCATACCCCCAGCCCTTTTTTGTATTTTATTTAGAAACAGGGTCTCACTGAGTTGCTGAGGCTGGCTTTGAACATAATCCTCCTGCCTCAGCCTCCTGAGTCACTGGCATTACAGGTGTGCCCTGCTGCACCTGGTTGTTTGAATCAGGAAATCAACTCAATTATGTTGAAGCCTCAGATCCCAGCTTACCCTCTATGAGCTGTGGTTCTAATGCCAGTTCAGTTTTCAAAGGCCTTGCAGTACTATTCAGATCCAGCCCAAACATGCACACTCCAGGGGCCATTCCATTCCATCTTCATGACTGCCGTGGAGAGGGGTTTGGGAGAAAAGAAAACAAAAACCAAAACAAGGCATTTCTCTCCTTCTCTTTGCCCCCCCCACCTCCTTCCCCCGCAAGAGATCCCTTTCCCAGCTTCTCATCAGAAAGAGAGTTTTTTTTTGGAGCTATTTCTCTTCCCACCTGCTGCACAGTTCTGGGATTTAAGCCAGAGTCTAAATCAGAAATATGTGAAGAAGCCAGGCGTCACAAGCCTGTAATCCCAGAGGCTTGGAGGCTGAGGCAGGAGGATTGTGAGTTCAGAGCCAATCTCAGCAACTTAGTGAGGCCCTAAACAACTCAGCAAAACCCTGTCCTTTAAATAAAATGCAAAAAAAGGCTGAGGATGTGGCTTAGTGGTTAAGCACCCCTGGGTTCAATCCCCAGTGAAGGAAGGAAGGAAGGAAGGAAGGAAGGAAGGGAGGGAGGGAGGAAGGAAGGAGCAAACAAAAAAATAAATTTAGAAAACTCACCACTGTATTTGTCCTCGTGTTTTTTTTTTTTTCCTCCCCAATTCCCTTTGCAGAGCCCCTGTCTGGTTTGACGTCTCTGTCCAGGGTTTTCCACTCTGATAGCTGGGGAAAGACAGTGTAGGTAATGTGCTTCCTTCATTTCAACGAGAACCAGCAGGCTTCCTGGTTTTTGGCATCTAATTAGCAAAGTTAAGCCCATCAACAGGCCTCATCCAGAATGCTCCTCAGCAAACTCTAGTTTCTCTTGAAATTAACTTTTCCCTTGGTGTTCAAATTCTTAAAGGTTCATTGAGTTTTTCTAGATGAAAAGAGAACAGAACACAGATGTAGTCTTCCCCTAGTCAGAGCAATCCCCAAACTTATAATAATAGTAATAATGATAATAGTGGTCATAATTATTGTAACAGAAGTAGTAATGATTAACAGCCTGAGCTCGTGTGTTCAGCTGCCCCCTAAGAGGTACAAGACCTTAACCCTGCTCCTTATTCTGTTTCCGCACCTGCGAAGTGGGAGTAATAGTAGTACCTCCTGCCCAGGTTGACGTGAGACTTAAATAAATCCACACAGAGGGCTTAGAACAGTGCCTGGCACAGAGGAAGAGTTATGTAGCATTACCCATTATTAACTCATAATTTGGTTAGTAATAGGAACGGCTAACATTTATCTGGCATCTCACCATGCAGAGGGAACCTCACCACAGCAAGAAAACCAGCTTATCCCCTCCGAGGCTGGGACCTCAGAAGGCAGAAGGCTGGCTGGATGCTGAGTCCCTCTAGCTTGCAGAGTCTGAAATGAGGGAGGCGTGGGTGGCTGGCGCCACTCGGGAGGATCTGGCTGGGAACCAGTGAGAGCAGCAAGGGGGCTCTGGCAGCGCAGCGTCTGGTCTGAGCTAGAGATTGCCCTCGGGGAATGAATGGGGGGAAATCAGCTTGAAGAGAAAGGCAACAGAAATAGAAGGGAAGCCTGGTAATGAGCGGCCCCAAAAAGGAAAGATCAATATTTTACAGCCAGAGAAACAACCAGTTTCCCTGGCAGCAGGCTCAGTAGCCCAGCTGCATGTGCTTCAGTGACAACAGCTGCTCCTGTCTGTCCTCTCTGCCAGGCCCAGGGGTGTTCTCTCTTTGGAGCCTGGGGGAGCCTGGGGGCTGCCTAGCGGGCAGAGTGTGTGGACCGAGGGCCACCCTGGCACCCTACCCGCGGTTGGTTATTTGCTGCCTGCCCTGGGTGAGATTGGGCAAGCCCCTCCCCTCCCCTCCCCGGTACTCCCTTCCCTGCCTGGGAAGAGAAGGGCTACTCAGCCAGGTGCATCCCCAGGGTGTGTTGCAAAAGGTTACCAGTGTTGAGGAAGGTAGAGACCCTTCATGACCCGGGTAGGGGTCCCAGCCATGGGGGATAAAGTTCTTTGACTACACAGAGTACCAGGGAAGCGGGGGCATTGAATCAGCCTTCAGTGAAGATGACCCTGTAAGAGTCTGCTGTGACCAGGTGAGGTCTCCCACCTTGCAGGGTGTAGGAAGGCCGTGGAAAGCACTAGCAGATATTCCAGAGTGGGTCAGGGAGACCTGGTTCAGGAGTTACCGCTGTGGTGACTTTGGCTTAAGCTGAGCCTCAATTCCCTCAACTGTAAAATGAGGACTATAATCATAGCTATTATTTTCACTGCTCTGAAGATGAAGTGAGACTACATCCAGAGATCAGGGCCACACTGCGACTCATGAGGAGCCCTCCCTGGGTCCAGCAGGAATGATCCTTACTTCTCTATAGAATGACACCATTATTCAGAGTCATCGCGCCTATGGTCATGTATGAAGGAACACTAACCAGTATGTGTTGTCATAAGAACTTTGCAATGACCCTGTTTTCTACAGGGCTGTTCTGCAGTGTGCACGGCACTTTTCATGACCATGGCTCTGGGACTTCCACTCTTTGAAGAGCCCTATGGGAGAAGCCACAGAGAAGGGAGAGCATGGGCTCAATCCCAGCACTGCTATAAAAAAGGAAGGGAGGGAGGGAGGTCACAACAAGCACAAAACCCCAACTGCAGCCTGGGCCACAGCTCGGGGGCACTCCAAGGACTTCCAGTGGCTCTCAGGACTCTGTCTTGCCATTATCAAACAACCCCAGCCCTCACCTGTTGGGGACTGGCTTTCCTTGGAGGCAGAGGAATGGACATCCTGCCCCAGCCATTCCCGGCCCCAGGGAGTCATGGACTCACAGATCACAGAACCCTGCAGCCTCTAGGGTGCATTTGCCTTTGAGGCTCTTCATCAGTCACCCAGCACCCTGGGGCAGACTCTGCCCTTGACTAGCACCAGAGACAATTAAGGAATAGCCCCTGGACTTGGAGAGGATGCAGGGCTGAGCACCTGTAATACTAGCCAGGAGAGGGAGAGAGGAGAGGAGGTGAACTGTCAGCTGGGGCCGTGGTGGGCTCCCCCACAGGTGGCACCTGGGCATAGCTATTCTCTGATGCCACACCATTGCCAGGCAGTGGCAGAGGCTGCCGTGGCTGGGTGGGGGTAGGATTGGCAGCCATAGTGCTGAGGAGCCTCTCGCCAGGCAGGAGCTGGCAAAAGAAGCCTCTTTCCTCCCCCACTGAAATTCTGCAGGCCTTTCCCAAGACCCCACTAGGTACCAGGCTCAGAGAGGGCATTGCACAGCCCTCTGCCCATCCCTCACCCCAGACTCACACCAGAGTGGAAGAGCAGGGCCAGCCGAACAGAGGTTTCAACACAGCCGCGAAGCTCAGGAAGGAGGAGGTGACTGTGGCGGGGCCTCTGTGCCTGCGGCTCATCTTCCAGAGCTGCTGGGCCCAGGCCCCTGATGCCAGACCACTGCAGTGCCCAGGGCTCAGACCCCTGCTGCAACAGCCATGCTGGAAAAGTGTCCCAAGGGCGGCAGGAAAAAAATTGTCTTCGTGACTAGATGATCTGTCAGCATGACTGGGCTTCGGTGCATGTGACAGCAGAGTGGGAGGGAGGACCAGTTGGCCTGTATTGGTGTGAACAGTCACAGCAGGCACAGGAATCCCCCTGCATACTGAGCTCCGTGGCTGCCAGGGCGCTCTCATTTCCATCATCTGCACCCCAGCGGAGAGAATCCTGGAAACAGCCTGGCCTGGCCTGCTGTGCTGTGGATGCTGATGGTGACTACCAGAGGGAGGGCGAGGTGCCTAAGGGCGAGTGTCAGTGTGCTGTGTGTGTGTTTGGTTGTGCATGGGTGTGGCCATGTGATCATGTGTGATGAGCCAGTGGGACCAGCAGCCACCACCATCAGCCTCAGCAGGGTCGGGCCTGGAGAGGGTACTCAGCTGTCCCTTGTTGAATGAATGAATGGGTGTGCGTGTGTGTGTGTGTGTGTGTGCGTGTGCATGTGCACAACCTCTGTGCAGGTGCTGCCATTAAGTTACAGACTGATTTAGAAACAAGCTTTGGAAAAGACATGTCAAGAAGCTGAAATTCAGGAGTTGGAAATTTGTGGTGGGGGAATGACTCTAATTAATCAGAAAAGATAGTACTTACAAAATTGGCCATTGCCAAAAACATGGGAAAAAATACCCAGGGCTAGCAAGTTTGAAGTCAGTTGCTCTGATTGAGAACTAAATTAAGACATCTTGACAGAGAGCAATTTGTCAGCTGTTTTGTTGAACCATTTATATCTGTTTATTCAACAGATATTCATGAAACTTCTACTATGTGCCAGTCATGGCAAGCTACCAGGTATGCAGTGGTGATCAAAACAGAAACAGTCTTTGCCCTCAGAGAGCTGAGTTTGCAGAGGGAAGATATAAATTCACCATATAAACATATAATTACAAATTGCACAAAGAGTTTGAAGGAAAATTTAGGGTGTTGCAAGACTGGGCAGCAGCAGGATGGGTCTAATCAGATAGGGGAAGTCAGGATGGGCTTTTCTGGGGGTGGGGACATTTAATAGAGGTACAAAAGGAGACCTGAAGAATTAGTGTTGCCAGATGATGAATGGGGAGGACAGGTGATCAGGATGTACAGCACAGAACCAGGTGCAGAGATGTACATTTGTAGTCCCAACAGCTCAGGAGGCTGAAGCAGGTAGATCACATGAACCCAGGAGTTTGGGGCTAGCCTGGGCAATATAGAAAGATCCCCATCTCTTAAGACAAACAAGAAAACAAACTAACCCCACCCCGGGTTTAGTTCAGTAGTAGAACATGTGCTTAACATGCACAAGGACCTGGGTTTCACACATACCCACCCCTCAACACAAACACACAGAATAAGATATAGAGAACAGCATGTGCAAAGGCCCTGAGACTGAAAAGCTTAATTTATTTGAGGCATCGATGGAAGGTGAAGGCCAGTGTGCCTGGAGTACGTTGAGTGATGGGGAGGAGATGGGACTGAAGGGGGCAGATTTTATACTCGGGGGCCCATAATGTGGAGTTTGTATCTTATCCTAAGTAATGGAAAAATAACTGGAAGGTTTTAAGCACCTTCCAGTGGTTTTATAACTGGAGTGGATTCCAATTGGATTGGAGAATGAATTAGAGGGGGCTGGAAGTGTAAAAGGGTAGTTGAATCAGGAGACTTGCATAGTCCAAGAGGGAGAAAATGATGACCATGACCAGGTGAATCCAAGGGGTGACGTGGAAAAGAATGTAGCGCTGGGATGCAAGCTACGTTGGGATCCACAAGGGTGTTGGTTGGGTGAGAGGGAGCATCCCCCGTGAAGCTACAGAACTGTGCAGTGGCAGGACGGGGTCAGGGGTGGATGTTGAGCAAGTGGTGCCGGAGGCGGTCGTGATTGGGTTGTCCCCTGACTGTGGGGGCTGTGGGGAGTGACTGTCAGTGAGGAAGCAAGCATCTGAGAAGCACAGTGTAGTGGGCATCCACACAACTGTGAAACCCCACGGCTGAGTTTCAATAGCAAAACGTTGGAAATACCCAAGTGTCGACTGTTAGAGGAAGTTGGGTAAGTGGTAGTGTGGCGACTGGGCAGAATCTTCTACAGCCACAAACAACGTGGGCTGCGCACACCAGGCTATGTGGACTCGTGTTTCTTTCTTCTTGTTGTTGTTTTAAATATTTTTTGTTGTTGTTGATGGACCTTTATTTAATTTTTATTTATATATGTGGTGCTGAGAATCCTCACACATGCTAGGCAAGTGTAAGCCACAACCCCAGCCTGGACATGCGTTTCTGATGTAGTGACTGCTGTGTGGGAGACAGACTCCCCAACACCAGGAGCAGCCAACTCCCTTGGGCTAAACCTTGTTTCCTAATTTCTTTTAAAACACTTCTTACTGGATCAGAAGAATGCACTGATTGGAAGTGTTGGCTCAGAGACTTCTCCCCGTGTCATTAGCACTTGATCCAAGAAATAGACCATCATCATTGCCTGGTGAGGTGGTGTGCACCTGTAGTCCCAGCTACTCCGAAGGTTGAGGCAGGAGGATCTCAAGTTTGAGGCCAGCCTCAACAACTTAGCAAGAGCCTAAAACAAAACAAAGACCACCAGCCAAAGCCCAGAAATTCCCTGGGTGATGTCACTTCTACAACACCACTATTTTGACAATCCTTGTTTAAAAAATTATTTAAAATTACAAATTATACAAGGTTTTGCCTCAAACCTTGTATAATTTGTAATTTTAAATAATTTATACATGTGTTATTATACACGTGTTACTTAATATCTCCTTGTTGACAAAGGAAAATTTGACCAAGGGTCTTAGAACTATAAAATACAGAAATTCTTTTTTGCTAAATGTGGTTAAAACTATGTCTTTTCAAAGAAAAGTGGGAAACAGAGTTTCTAGATGTTTTTTAAAGGGGTTTATGCTTGTTTTGTGCAAAAAAAACTATTATTTAAAAAATATTTAGTTGTAGGTGGACACAATATCTTTATTTTATTTTTATGTGGTGCTGAGGATCGAACCCAGTCCCTCACACATGTGAGGCAAGCGCTCTGCCACTGAGCCCCAGCCCCAGCCCAGAAACCACTATTTTTAAACCTCACAGGGAGCCTCTGCTTTCAATGGCCATCTTTGTGGGGCCAGCTTGGGGGAGGGAGCTCCGGGGGACACACCCTTGAACTCTGAGAAGCTACAGTGATTGCTTTCTTCACTTGCGGTGCCTCCTGACCTGTGCAGAATAAGGCGAGCCCACAGCTGCCAGGGGCTTGGTGCAGAGCCCAGGGGGACCAGGCTGGCCACACTGGCCTCCTCTTGGCTCCCCTCCAGCTCAGCCCCCCCACCCCAGTGCCCTGGACCTCCTCACACCTGTCCTCTTTCCTTCCCACAGGTAGAAAAACTTGTGAAATATCTGGATCCCAACGACCTGGGGAGAATCAACTTCAAGGACTTCTGCCGTGGAGTGTTCGCCATGAAAGGTGAAGCCCTGGGGCGGGTCCTCTGGGGCTGTCTTGGTCCTGTCCAGAAGGAATGGCCAGCGCGACTTGGGCTGCAGCCGGGATTCCTCCCCACAGGGTCCAGAGCCCTGAGGGGCCTCAGAAGTGGGCTCTGTCCCTGGCTACCCACGGGATAGAGGGGAGGGGTCTTCGGCTCCCACTGTGCCATAGCCCATACCCAGAGTCAGGGTACCTGGACCAGAGTGATGGTCCTTTTAGGCCTTCCCATGAGAGAAAGGCTCCCCTCTGGGATAACCAAACTCCCAGGGCAAGGGGGCACTTGTGCTTTAAATGCAGTTCTGGGTGCACCTGGGTAGAGCTGACTGCCTTCCCTCCCTCCCCTCTAACCCCCTTCCCTCTCCTTCTCCCCTTAGTCCCTCCCAATTCTTTCCTTTCATTCCTGCCCCACCCTGTTAAGGAATCAATGTGCAATCCCTCCTTTCCACTGGTCAGTTGTGAGAAACGCCCAGGAATCAGAACCTGTTCCCTGTAACTTAGGACTGCTTGTGGGGAGAAGGTGGCTTAGTCACCAGCCTGTTGGACTGCTGAGGCCTTCCCCGGGGGTTCCAGGAGGCAGCAGTTACTTCTAGGAGTCCCCAGAAGTCCTGTGGCCTCAGCAGGGAGCCTTGTTTTCCAGTCTGGGTGGTCAGATCAGGGTGACCTTCCCTGCCAGGCTCCTCCTTTGGAATTGGGGGGAGGAAGGAAGGAAGCCAAAGGGAAGCGCTGAGGGGCTGGTGGAGGACCGCACCCAGGCCCCAGCAAAGGTCTTCCCAGTGGATTTGTCCCAGTCTTTGGGCCACCGAGGACTGCACCTGCCATGTGCCTGTGCCAGGCATTTTGCCCAGTATAACTTCAGGCATCTGCTCAGGAACCTGGCAGGGAGGCCACCTGTGTAACTGGTCAGCAGGAGGTAGAGCCATCCTGGGGGGCCCTAAGGTAGACTCTGGAGTTTGCTGCCTTAGTTGGGGGCACGCAGCCTCGGGGATGTGCGGGGGGAGCTGCAAGCAGAGAAGCGTTGTCCTACATCCCCTCCTCCCGGGAGGCCTCCTGATGCCCTCTGCCCCTGCATCGGGAGGCCACAGTGCGCTGCTCCCTGGGGTTTGTCCCAGCAGAAAGATGTCTGGGTGAAGAGCCTCTGCAGTGCCCTGCCCAGCCTCCCCGCCACTGCGGTGCTCCTTCCGCCTCTGTGCGATCAGCTGATCAGCCGGTCTCTTAGGGATCCAGCCCTTCCCGCAAGGCCCACTAGGCAGAAGCAGAGCGGCTGTGCCTGGCCGAGGCTCTGCCCTCTCACTGTCTGTCTGTCTGCCTGTCCACAGGGTGCGAGGAGCTGCTGAAGGATGTGCTGTCCATGGAGAGTGCAGGGACGCTGCCATGCGCGTCAGAGATCCCGGACTGTGTGGAGCAGGTAAGAGGCGGTGGCCCTGAGCCTCCGCCCTCTGCTCCTCCTTCTGCTCTTCTGGCCTTGGCTCCATTTTGTGGTATCCAGGAGGACCCAGCCACTCCCTCTGGGGAACCTGTGGAATCAAAGTCAAGAAATCGGGTTTTGGACAGGTGCAGTGGTCAGGAAGCCCCAGCAGAGCGTGTAAGAGCTGGGGGTCCTCGGAGAGCATCTCCCTCCGCCCCCTGGTGCTGAGGAGAAACTGAGTCCCAGGGAGGGGAGGGGATGGGCTGAGGTCTGGCAGGTAGGGTTGGAATCTTTTCCTTTGCTCCTGTTCCTTCATTCTTTGAACTGATGAGTCCCTGTGTGTGTGCCTCCCTCCGTATAACAACTAATTCTCCAGTTCTCTGACACTAACTGGATGTCCAGCAATTCAATTCCGTCTGACAATACCCAGAGTTACTGCGGAATCAAGAGTCAATCCCGTAATACCCTCACTTCTGCCCAGCAAACTACATTCTCCGCTCCCCACAACCCCCTTCCATTTGATAATTCACCAGAACAACTTGGGAAAACACTATTCTTAGGATTAGCAGTTTATCCTGAAGGGTATAATTGAGAAATGGAAGAGACGCACAGGACCAGTGTGGAGAAAGGTTGGTGCACCTTCCAAGCCATCTGTAGGCACAGCAGCTGCCCCGGCTGGTTGTCCTGTTTACCAGCCTGGAAGCTCTCTGAACCTGGCCCTTCTAGTGTCTTTATAACCCAGTCCCCGATTCCTCTCTTCCCCTAGTAGGAGGGCCTGGAAGTTCTCCCCTTCTGACCCCCAGCGTGGTCCTTCTGGTGATGGGCTCCACCCTGAGCCATGTGGAGGTCCCACTTTGAGTGACTTTAGTAGCATAAACTCAGGCGTGGGAAAAGAGGGTCCTCAGGGCTAGAAGTCACTCACATCAGGAAATTCCAAGGGCTTTAGGAGTTCTGTGCCAGGAAGTGAGGATAAGGACCAAATCATGTGGCACCACAGTCTTCTTGGCTTTGTTTTGCTTTCTCCGAGTGGTGTGTTTACTATTAAACACTGAACTATTTTTTTTCTAGACACTGCAGTGTCATCCTACAAAGAAACAGTTTAAGGTGCACTTGTTGACAGTCTCTGGGGTCCCTTCTGGCTGAGGGACCCCTGGAGCTAGAGGAGTAGTATTTTGGTTTCTCAACCAGGCGGGCTCCAAAGCCTCTTATCCAGCTCTGGTTGGTGCCTCATCGGGACACCCACACACACTCAGAAAAACAAACAACAACAAAAATCACAAGTATTTATTATAGCTGAAGGAGGTCCAGGTCACCATCGTTCACTCAAGCTCTTTGTGGATTCCTGGGGCTCTCCCTGGGTTCTTTGGGGCAAGACTAAGAGAGAAGAGGAGCCCATGAGAAGGACCATAAGCTGGGTATAGCCAAGTGAAGAGAAGGCCAAGGCTCTTTCAAAAGACAAAACTACAATGAATTATTTGTAGGTTTGGGGATGTAGCTCAGTGTTAGGGTGCTCACAGCTGTGGGTGATCCTGGTCCCCAGCACTGCAAAAAAAAAAAAAAAGTGTGTTGCGGGGAGAAACTGGTTGTGGAGGTGCATGCCTATAATCTCAGCAACTTCGGAGGCTGAGGCAAGAGGATGGCAAGTTTGAGGCAAGCCTCAGCAACTTAACAAGGCCCTAAGCAACTTAGCAAGACCCTGTCTCAAAATGAAAAATAAGGGCTGGGGATATAGCTCAGTGGCAGAGTGCCCCCAGATTCAATTCCCAGGACTGGGGAGCAGAGGGTGGGGTTTATACATAGATCTAATTGGCTTGAATGTGCTGTTTGAGAGCCCACACTCAAGAGCAGAGCTGGGTTTTGTAAGTTAAGAAATAAGGCAACAGAACAATAGAAAAAAACCTGGTGGATCAACATCAGGTTGCTTCAGTTTACTTTGTGAAAAGATTAAAGCAGAGGGGACTTCCTTATCATGCTGACTAAAACTGGCCTGTTTGGGGACTGGATTATCATCTCTCTCCTGATTTCTGGGAAGGTCAGATAACAACTTAGTTTCAGTTTAGTGGCATTGGATGTCAGCATGAGCACGGCTGTTTTGGCTTAGTCTGTTGGGCCTAGTGCAGGAGCTCTGACCAATCCAAAGGCCTCCTATAATATATATATCAGTTATAGATGGATACAATATCTTTATTTTGTTTTTATTTATTTTTGTGTGGTGCTGAGGATCGAACCCAGGGCTCCACATGTGCAAGGCAAGCACTTTGCCACTGAGCCACAACCCAAGCCCCTCCTAGAGATTTTATCTGACAGTTCAAAGTTGGTGGAGACCAAAGCCAGGTAGCAGGTGTGGGACCAGGGTAGAAGTCAGGTGGCAGGACCTCAGGGTGCGGTGCTCAAAACATGAGCCCTTGGGGATGGGTCAGGGTAACCGGCTCCAGGTACAAGCAGGGCCAGCGGGGAGGGCTCCTGGCCTGTCTTTGCAGGCCCAGGACATGTCGGGGAAATATGTGTTTGGGGCTAACCGTCAACAGGACCGTAACAGGGGACCCTGAATGTGAGCAAGTGGTGTGCTCCAGGAGTTCTTGGGGTGGACACCTGGTGGGATTTTGAACAGGATTCAGAGGGGGGCGATAAGCCATGGGGTCATCCAGAGCTAGGTCCACACCTCACTCTGACCAGTCTATCCTTGCAACCCTGGGCAAGTTCCTCTTAACCCCTTGGAGCCTGTTTCCACAGGTGTAAAAGCAGGGCCCTCCGCACCAACCTTGGGTCTGCTGTGACAATTCAGCAAGAAAACAGTGGTGGTGCATGACCGTTCCTGCCTCCTGGTGCTGTGGACTAGTGAGAGAAAATGGTGCTGAAGTTACAGTTTGCATTTTCCCTTTTATCCTTGGATACTGCTACTTCAAAATTATATCAAAATAAAGCTCTGTGCCTAGGAGCTGGTGGGCAGAGTGGAGCTGAGGCCTTGGGCTAACTCAGTAATACCCAGGAGCAGAGGCATGCCCTGCAGTCTTCGGCTGCTCTCCTGGGCCCCATGCTATGCCATCCACATTTCCAGAAAAGGTGGTGCATGGAGGAAAGATGAGAAACAGGCTTGGAAGACAGTCACGGTGGCACATGACTATAATCCCAGCAATTCAGGAGGCTGAGGCAGGAGGACCACGAGTTTGAGACTACCTGGGCAATTTAGTGAGACCCTAATTTTCTCAAAAATTTTAAAAAGTGCTGGGCATGGTGACATCCACCTGTGATCCCAACAGCTCAGGAGGCTGAGGCAGGAGGACCTTGAGTTCAAAGCCAGCTTCAGCAATTTAGGGAGGCTTTGGGCGCTCCTCTCTGTAAAGCAGTGTTGTGTTTCATTCAAACTCTGGAGGTTGGGGAAGGAGAAGGACCCTGTCAGTCACTTCACAACCCTAATACTTCCCTTCGTTTTCCCGGGGGGCTGCCCTGGTAGGGTGTGTCTTCTGGCTTTAAGCCTCCCCCTGGCCAACTCCTTTCCCTCCTCCACATAGGTCTGGCCCTAACAGGTGGCTCCTCCAGCTCCTCTAAGTGGCTCCGTCCCAGTGGCAGTGGATGGGTAGACACAGTGGCTGTCCCGTCTGTTCTGCTCAGCAGTGCGGCTGGGGTGACTTGGGCTCTGTTCCTTCTGGTGGGCTCCTGAGTGCTGGGAGGTGGGAAGCCAGCCGGCCAGGCAGAGTGACTCCCTTTCCTGGCTCAGACTCTTGGGGAGGTGGGGGATGTTGGTGGGGGCCTGCCAGGGACAGGTCCTGATCCCTGTGGTGTCCCAGCCATCCCCTAGAGGTCAGGCTGAGACTGGAAGCCAGTGAGATCCTAGTTCATCTATGGGTTTCCCGTGTCTCCAGGGGATTCAGATCTGAGGAGTGATTTGGGGAGATGCTGGATGAGAACCCTGAGAAATAGGACAGCACAGCAGAGCCCCGGCCTCCCTGTGTGCCTTTTGTGGAGAGAGAGGAAGACCCCTCCCCTTCTGCCCTCAGGGTATAAGTGAGACCTCAGATATCAGCACTTGATATGGGTCATGTTAAAACAGCAAAATGCTTTAGAGTTGGCCCAGCCAATGTCCCAGTCCCTGAGAGCTCACTGCCCACTTCCCCATTCTCCCAGGTCCTGTGACACCCCCCGACTGGACACCATGCAGGGGTCTTTGGCCTACTGTTCAGACCTATGGACCAGCGCAAGTCCATTCCAGGTAGCTGGAGCCTGGGCAGCACCAGCTCCTGACCTTACAGGATGCTGCCCATCAGTGTCCCCGCAGCCTGCGCGCTCTGGCAGAGTAACTTCATGGAGTGGGCTGTTGAGTGAGTTTCCCAGTCTAGGAAATGTAAGAATGGTCAGAGGAGATGCTGGGGTGTTTGGAAGGACTTCTGGTATCCAGGATGGTGTGTGTCCCCAGGCTGAGGGGTCAGCACACACCCTAAGAGTCCCTCCTGAAACCAGCCTGCTCAGAGGCTACCTCCCTTTTTTTTTGTACTGGGGATTGAGCCCAGGGGCCCTTTACCACAGAGCAACATCCCCAGCTCTTTTTATTTTTTATTTTGAGACAGGGTCTCATGAATTTGTTCAGGCTGACCTTGAGATGGCAATCCTCCTACCTCAACCTCCAGAGTCACTGGGATGATGGACGGGCACCACCAGGCCTCCTTTTTTGCAATCCCTAGTCCAAATGAAGTAGGGTTCCCTTAGGGAGGGTCTCCAGGAGGTGTGGAAAGCTCGCCCACAGACGTCAAAGCCAGGGAGACCATCGCCCAGGGTCAGGGCCAGCCTTGGTAGGCCGTGAGATGAAGCCTGCCCCACAGTACTGTAAGATCCTGGGCTCTTGGTCACTCACCCACGTGGGCTGATTAACAAGGAACCCCACTAAGCAAAAAGAGCATCAGCCTACTCACTCTCCTGTGTAGCTGCCACTTCAGAATGTGGCATCACCATCCATCCAGTCCCCAAACCAGAAAGTCATCATTGGTGCCCCCACACGCAACCAG